GGCTCTTCCCTCTTCCGTGGCCGGTGCCGGTCGCTCAGCGACGTGCGCGTGCGCGGCCCGGTCCCACCGCACGTGGTGGACGAGCCCGACGCTGCGGCCGCGGCGGCTTCTGGCAGCTCCCTAGACAGCTTCTCCAGGGGCTCGCTCAAGATCAGTTGGAACCCTTGGCGCCATGGGCTGTCGTCGGTGGACAGTCTGCCCTTAGATGAGCTGCCCAGCACGGTGCAACTGCTGCCTGCCCCGACCCCAGCCCCTGCCCATGTTCGGCCCGGGGATCCCCAGGGTGAGGTCCAGCCGCGCTGCAAGCCCGGGGACTCCCGTAGCGCCTCCAGTGATACCATCGAGCTCTGAGGGGTCCTGACGCAGGACCAGGAGCCTACCCTGGATGCTCGCATAACATGGCTGACTGGGACAGTTAAGCGTTTGAAAAACTGGCATCCCCGGGCCTCCAGACTGCAGTCCCAGGGGACAGTCGGGCGTCAGTCCCTCCCCCATCCCCGTTTTTTGTTTAAATATTTCTATTTTTCTCAGTGGGTATTTTGCACAGAGACCGTGACTTATCCGGAATACAGGGTGAACGTGCATGGATTTGGGCATGGGGAACCGGGACCAGTGTCCCAGACTTCCCAGTGTAGAGAGATTAATCTACCTTATCCAGATTGACTGTCCTCTTTGTGCCAAAGAAATAAACCCTTAGGACTTGGCTCATGCCTCCCTCCAGCCACGCCAGTATCCTGTACTCCCCCGAGGAGATAGGCCGTGCCTCACAGTAATAATTCCATGTCCTGTGTATGGGGAGAGGAGCACTTCCAGAGGAAAGGTTGCTTGACCCTTAGAGGCTTTAATAGTTATGGCTACCAATATTTTACTGAATATCTATTTGTTGTAAACTACCCAGCTCTTCTCATTCATCACCTCATTTAATCATCATATTAAGCCTGAGTGGAATGCATTATCAGGCCCATTTTAGGAATAACAACAGTGAAGTTCAGGGGCAAAAGTCATTTGTCTGGGTCCTTGGGCAAATGACAGCTGGTCTTAAACCCAGAAAGTTCTACTCCTAAGCTTGGTTCCTCTATCCCCCTTCTTCTTTTTTTTTTTTTGTCTTTTTGTCTTTTTCCGTGTCCGGCAACGGATCGCAACCCTCAGTGTTGCCCCTGTACCAGACCGAGGACCGGCAACAGGATTGCAACCCTCGGTGTTGCTCCCGCGCCTCGCTCAGCCAGTGAGCGGGAACCGGTCTGTATGTGGGATCCGAACCCTAGACGGGAGCGCCGCTGCGCTTCCTAAGCGGCGCACTAGCGCAGTGCGCCACCGGGCCGGCCCTATCCCCCTTCTTCTTTTTTTTTTTTTTTTTTTTGTCTTTTTGTCTTTTTCCGTGTCCGGCAACGGATCGCAACC